GACAAAAATACTGAAGCAGAACATTCGTCTCAACTCTTATTGTTTGGGTTTTGAAAAAGTAAGTGAAAACAACAGAGAAAAGCAATTTGTTATGGATATAGACTTTGATCATTGTATGCTGAGGCAATGACCTTATGTGTGACCTATTTTATCTATTGATCAATATTGATTTTATCATGTTTATCATTTATGGTGAAGCTGTGCTTCTAAAGAACTTTGCAAACCACTGCCATTGTATGTGATTGCTGTGTTGCACAGAGTACTGTAATGATTATCTACTAATAAGCAAACATCTAAACCCTTTCACAAACTGTTTAAGATGAAAGTAGACATTAATTATTCTGTCTTAGCTTGTATATTTTAAAGATTAATTATGTATGTATTGTACTGTTGAGTTATGTTTAGGAACGCACAAAGTCTGGATTATGCATTCTGCTCTTCACCTTTGTCAAATAAAAGTCAATGTGCAGGTGCAAAGTCAATGACTATTTTTGATTGGTAATATGTAGGATGTAACTTACATCCTGAGTTACAGTCATGCCACATTAGACTACAGTCATAGTTGGGAAACTATGTGTTTGAGCCATGATGCTTCAAAATGTTTCCTAAAAGCAAATAAGTGTGACCAAGTGGTTTTCTTCAAGGTTATATTACCTAGAAACAGTCAAGATTTACAGTAAAATCTGTTCCAACCTACCCTAACAAATATGACACTATGTCACTATCCATTATCTTAGACTAAATCAGCAGTATAGCTGGTATAGTCCTTACAAATTTGAGTGTCACTCAACAGCAAACTGTGGCTGTTGCATATTAATGTTTGTTCTTATTGATGATGTCTGTGTTATCTGTGTCTTGTTATGATTTATATGGGCTGTGTTTAAACTGTCTGTCCATGTCTGATTATGAAGAGGCTAGTGTTTGGAACTGCTCACCTTTGCACATGTGAAGAAGTTTTTCTTGTCCCCACATAAAACATTCTGAGTGCAAATGCATACACCTTGGGCTTCAGTGCTTTGATTACAGACTGTTCGACATGGGAAAACCAAGAGTTGTGTTTATGTTTCAGTAGTTACTGTAATTATGGTAGATGGTGTAGAGTTAGTTATTGTTACCTTGTGTGATAGCAGTGACGAACCCTTCAATTTTTATTTGCCCTGCAAATACCAAAAACATTGTTGCTAAATAAAGTTGCCATATTTGAGGAACAAAAGGGTGATCTTGTTTTTTTTTTTATGTCTTTAAGGTGTCGTGGTTTCATCTGTAAGTAGATTAAAAACTAAGAAAAAGTTATCAATTCACAAAATCTCTCTGAACCCTAATTTAAAGTGTTAAATGGTTCCATTTATATCAGAGATCTGATTGTAGCTTATTTTCATAACAGAGCACCTCCCTCTCAATCTGCAGGTTCACTAGTGGTTCCTAGAATCTCTTAAGTAAAATGGTATGAAGATATTTTTCTTATCAGGCTCCTCTCCTGTGGAACAAACTACCAGACTAGTCCGTGAGGTAGACACCCTGTCTACTTTTAAGGCAAGGCTTAAAACTTTTTGATAAAACTTAAGAGTGGCTTAGGCTATCCGGAGCTATATTTATAGTTTCTATAGGCTTAGACTGCTGGAGGACATAGGGGTCTCTTTTCATCATTCTGCTTCATTCTATATTCTTATTAAGATAGATTTATTTCTTTATTATTCAATCTAAAAAAAAAAAAGGTTGCTTCAATCGAAAAATATATTTTCAATTAAAAAAATCTTCCCTTTAATGAAAAAAAAAACATTTCAATCAAAGAAAAAAAAGTATTTAAATGCAAAAATATATTTGAGACTCAAAAAAATACATTTGGACACTGCTTTTCTTTGATTGAAAATGTTTTATTTGATAGAAGTGCAGTCTTTTTAGTTTAAAGCACCTTTTTTAATTAAAGTAACATTGTTTTTTGATTGGACAATATAATGGGTAGGACATTGTGTCTTTATTATTCAATCAAAAAAGAAGTTGCTTCAAAAAAACAAACAACAAAATCAATAAAAAAGTAACTTCATTGAACAGATAAACTTTTTTAATCATAGAAAATAGTTTTTGAATGCAAATACAATATTTGAGACTCAAAAAGTTGCATTTGAACACTTTTTTTATTGTTGAAAATGTTCTCTTTGGTTGAAGGGATTTTTTTTCCCTTTTGGGCCATACATGGACAATTGTGTCTTAATCATTCAATTCCCCAAAAGTTGTTTCAATAAAAAAATAAATAAATAAATACGGTAAATAAAAAAAAATAAATAAAAGAAAAAAACTGCGCAAATGCAAAAAAAATACCCCATGAATAAATTGTTGGGGTTTTTTTGTTTTGTTTTTTGTTTTTTAAGTGAAAAAAAAAATTGAAGTTCAAATTGTTTTATTTAAATTTTATTATTTTTTTTTTTTTTGAAGTGCAAAAAGTTTTGAATAATTTTGACACAAAATGCGCTGCATCAACCAATCAGAAAAGCTGATCTGGGAGATGTCAGGGAGACAAACACATCGCTGATGATCAGATGATCACTCCTCTGAAACAGTTTATTAAGGCCGAAGTTAACTTAAAATGTAGAAACCTGCTGGTAGAATATGTTCACTTTTATTATCCTGGTGCCTGCATTTTGGATTACGCCGCCGCGGAAAACCGCGAGGAGGCGACCGGGCTATAGGCTGTTGTTGAATGGGATTCCTAGTGACAGCACACCGCCAGTATATGGGTCTCGCGAGATCTGAGTCTTCAGGCTCACATTAATTTCTATGTATTTATTATTTTTTCCTACGTATTTTTCTATGCACACATTTCTATGTATTAATTGTTTGGTTTTTTTTTTTTGTAACCAGGTTGCACTGTATTGCAGATCTCTGCCCAGGTCCCCCTTGAAAATGAGATCCAGATCTCAATGGGGTTTACCTGGTTAAATAAAGGGGAAAACAAAAATAAAAATCAAATCAACTGATAACGTAGAGCCATTGTCCAGGATCTAAAGAACCACTTGTGGCTCCAGAGCCACAGGTTGCAGACCCCTGGACTAAGTGGGAACTAACCTCTCAGTGCTCGTTTCCCCAGTTTCTACATTTTCAGAGAGATTTTCTAAATTGATTATTAACCCCTATAGGGTTAGACTTCTGGATTACATGTCGACCCCTTTTTCATCATTCTGATTTATCCATTAATTTGCCTCGTCTGTTCCTGTTTGGCTGTGACACCATCCTGGAGAGAAACATCAGCTGTGCTGCTTCCATCAACACCCTTGTTTATAGATGCTGGAGATCGGCCTGTTTTCCAGTGTGGTCCTGTTTCTCTGACCGTGACTGGCTGGATGTGCTCTCTTCGTCCTCTGGCATGGGAGCTGGCTCGGAGCTCCTCTGCCTGGTTGTGTGTTTCCTGGACGGGGCCGCCTTTTACAGCTGCTTTTTGTGTCTCTGCTTCTGTGTCCTTGAACCCCAGTCAGCAGATGGATGCTCAAACTGAGCCTGGTTCTGCTGGAGGTTTCTTCCTGTTAAAAGTGAGTTTTTCCTCTCCACTGTCGCTACAAGCATGCTTAGTGTGAGGGATTGTATTTGAGTCAATGAGTCGATGTAATCAACTAGTTTTCCTTAGATTGAAAACTTTAAATCAATTTGACTGCATGATCTGGTTGAACTGTAAAGTGCTTTGAGATGACATGTGCTGTGAATTTGGCGCTATATAAATAAACTGAATTGAATTGAATCAAACAGCACGGAGGTGGCAGCAGAATCAGGTAAGGAGTTCTGTAATTTGAATATGATAAATAACACCAAGACTGAATTTTAATATTTGTGGCCATCCATTTCATCATTCATATGAGAAGAAATTAATATATACTTAGTATAACTAGTAACACACAAGATTGCCTCAACAGATGGCTGCTCACACTGAGCCTGGTTCTGCTGGAGGTTTCGTCCTGTTAAAAGGGAGCTTTTCCTCTCCACTGTCGTTACAAGCATGCTTAGTGTGAGGGATTGCATTTGAGTCAATGAGTCAATGCAATCAACTGGTTTTACTTAGACAGAAAACTTTAAACCAATTTGACTGTATGATCTGGTGAACTGTAAAGTGCCATGAGATGACTCAATTTGTGAATTGGCGCTACATAAATAAAATTAATTGAATTGGTCTCAATGGCAGTTCTAGACCAAATGTACAAGGTGGCCAGGAGAGGGCACAGAAAAGCACGAAATAAAAAAAAAAAAATTAAGAGAGCTGCATCAAGTAAAATTTCCATTCAATTAGGTTTAATTAAATTTCTATTTCTTATTAGGTCAATATACGTTCAGGATTTAGGGATTTTACATAAGTTGAAATTAAATTTTTTTTCTATAACATCTGAATTAGAACTCAAGAAAAGTTGATAAATTCACCTGTAAAAAGTAGAGCATTTGAAAAAAAACATTAAGTAGATGAAAACTGGGATTCTATCTCAATACCATTTAAGCCTTATTATTTTATTATTATTATTCCTTTTTTTAACCAGAAAAAGTCCCACTGAGATTAACAAAAGACAGCGGTAAAAGATTACATTACAAATTACATTACAGTTTACAATTACATTTATCTATAATTAGAAATTCATAAAACAGTTACAAACTATTATCAACTTATTTTTTTTAAATTATTAGTAAAACAGAATTTGTAAAGAAAATGAAAATTAACAAAGTATTATGTCTTCAGTAAAGGGGCCAGGATGTGATCTACAGGGGCACTGGCCCCCATTGGCTCCTGTCTAGAACCGCCCATGATTGGTCTACATCCAAAATTATAATAAAAAAAATGCAACTCTTTTAAAATTGCATAAGAATACAATATAATAGTAATGGATCCAAATTTTTATTTGCCCCCTATTTTAAATATTCAATCATCTATAGAATGATGGAGCTTGTTGCTATGAGGGCCAGTGTTTAAGGGGTCTCCTCGTTTATCTCCGTCATCCCGTCGCGCCGGAAAAGGCAGAGCATCGTGAAAAAAAAGGAGGCGTTTCCCTCTAAACAACACATCAGCTGCAAATTTATGCAGAGCGGTGAAATCTGTGCTGCTGCAAAAAGAGGAGCAAGAGAGAAAATAAAAAGAGGCACACACAGCGGGCACCGCGTTCCCCAACCGCCCGGGAGGCCGCAGAGTCCGCCGAGGGGATCTGGAGCCAGAGAGCGGCTGAGGAACCCCGAAGCGGTGACGGTAAGGACGGAGCGACCAGCCCCGCTACCGAGCCACACAGCAGCAGCAGCGGCTAGCGGGATACTAGCAGGAGTAGCCTCCGGTGGATCTGGTATCAACTGGTCTGAAGCATGGAGGGCAGCTAGCAGCGTTAGCTCCCAGCTGACTGCTGCTGATAAACGGGGCTTTCTGGGACAGAGGAGGCTGGTGGCTGCAGACTGAGCTGCTGGAACTCCCGAAGATAATTAGAGGATGCAATTAAGATAAAATCAGATAAAATGGATCCTGCTGGGAATCCAAACCAACAGCTAAATGATGCACATTTAAAAGGATAACACATTTTCTGATAAATGAGAATAAAAGATTTAAGCTTTAATGTAAAGGCATTAATTTTCCACAACATCAAGGTCTCAGAGTTACCACATTTATTTATTTATTATTAAACATTATTATGCAGGTTGTAATATGTGATGCATTGCTTCCCTGAGAGTCTGGGAGCAGATCAGAGATGCACTGATCAGACCTGCACCGGCTCATACCGATTTCTGATCATCCACCAGTTTTAGCAGATCCTCATTGTCTTCCATGAAAACATTTTCTATGGTTTGCTGTTTAGAACAATGGATCTAATATAAACACTGAATGGCATGTTCCCAGACAGGCTGATTGTGTGAATTTAACAGAAGATAAATGGATTAGATGAATGTCTAGAACCTCAGAGAATGTTTTGTTGGTTTTACCAATTGTGGATTTTTTTTAGTTTGAACAGATTTAATTTTTAATTTAAGGGTAAAACTGTTTTTATTATTTAGAAATCGACCTTCTGGTCACTGAAAAGATCTGACCAACCTATACCTGTCTAATTTTGATCACTGGTTTCATTTGTTTAGTGCATCAATTTATTTGGTAAGGTAAGAAGGGTAACTATCTATATATATAGATAGAAATATATGGGCTGAAACTACTAATTGGATTAATCCTAATTAAGCAAATTATATTTAGTAATCAATTCATCGTTATTTGGAGTATAGAGACTCTGAAACATGCCTGTAGCTGACAGAGTGACCCACTTAGAGCAGTAATATACCAAAATAACAAAAAAATTTAAAAACATAAATTATTTGAATTTAAGATAGAAAATAAATTGTCAATTAATATGCTCTACCCAGGACTACTCAAGTGGAAAAGTTTTAGTTTTACCTGGTTTGATTCTGTATAAATTCACCTTTAAAGGTCCTTTTACTATATGATTATTAATTGAATAATAGACAGATTAATCAATTTGCAAAATAATCGTTAGTTGCAGCCCTAAAATATATATATATATATATATATATATATATATATATATATATATATATATATATATATATATAATTCCCTTTGATTTTAAATCAGGTTTATTCTGTTGGATGGAGTCTGATTGTTTTAGATCCTCTCACCTGATGCAGGTGATGGTCCCTAGAGGTTAAAGGTCACAGGATATGAGTCTTTATATTGATGGTAGACTATGAGTGGGTGATATTTTTTTACTTGGTATTGGCATGTTTATTTTCTTGTTTGGCCATTGGCCCATATGGGTACCTGTTGGCCGATTCCTTAGTGCATTCAGCAGCCATGGCTTGAGATCAAGTACAGGGCCTGCATTGCTGTTTCCTCCATCTGCTATCAATTGTTAATTCTTTGTCGGGTTTATTAATAATTGTTTCTCTTTAGTTTAAATTGAGACTTGTGTAACAGCTGTTCTCATAGTGTCCGTTGGTGTGTAATTAGAAGAACAGAAAACAATGTTGGCTTCAAGAGTCATCCTCAAATTATAAAAAATAACAGAGAAGATCAGTTAGACTGAAGTTAAAACAACCTGTATCCAAATTACAAGCCCGATATGGGTGATCTCTAATAGGGGGTTTTCAGGTGACGTCACGCTCACGTGACTACTCAGCGCGTCCGCCATATTGGGTGGCAGCCTTAGGCAGTATTGACAGTGAAAAATGGTGAAATCGTGTGTAATTGTTGGTTGCACGGCCCGTGGAGGTGGAGATCAACGCTCTTTCTATTGCATACCAGCCGTAATCGTGAATCAATGCGAAAAAACAAAACAGCTATCTGAACAACGCCGTCACCTATGGCTGACACGGATATCCAGGTCCGATTTGGACGGTGTGAAGCTGGAATACGCCAGAGTCTGCAGTGCTCACTTTGTCACAGGTAATTAACTGTCAAGCATTTAAAAAATGTAAGAGTATATTAATAATAGGGCTTGGGCGTCATGACGTATTACTTTCCGTGGCTGCAATGTTGACCGTCTCCGCCGCCGCTACTCAGACTACTGCCTATGACTACCGCGTACTGGACTCCCTCTCTCAGCCGTGTTTTAATTTGATTAATTTCACCTTAACTTGATTTCAACCAGTGGGAAAAGGCTCAAATATGTGAGAAACCCGGAGGGTTTAGGGAGGTTTGGCAGTTAACGTTACTAACCAAACCTTTGAAACACATAGCAGCTAGTTAAAAGTACATTACATGCCTGAGTGGTTGTTAGCACTAACGGTTAGCACTGTTTGCTGGCTTTATGAGCTGCAGCTCCTGAACCCATCCATTCGTAAACTGCACATGAGACTCCAAGGACTTGTAGCTTTGGAACTGTTCGCGCACCGCCGGCCGTTAGCCACCTAGCATAGCGAGCCCTGCGTCGGATTGTTTACATTTTTACCATCTTATTAAAACTCACCCATCCACGTATGATGGCGATTTCCTCATGTACATCACTTCGACATCTCGTACCCAACCAGATGTGAACTGGTTGTGAGCCTCTAGACCCTTGTACGCTCTCATTTCCTCAAGAGTGTGCAGAGGGCTTTCACTGAACACCAGGTAATGAACTATGTTACCGTGCTCTACATTTGGCCAATCATCTGGATTAGTGCTAAACAAGGCACCGTGGAGGGCATAGGGGTCCATATGGTCGATCATGGAAAATTTCCTCAGATATGTTCCATGATCTGGTGGCTCTAGCGTGCTGGCGTACTTATCCATTCGCGACATGATATATATGATATACGATAATATGCCACCCAAGATGGCGGACCGGAAGCTGGCCAGTGACGTCACTGAAAACCCCCTATTGGTAGATAAGCATGAAAAAAATCATGAGAATATGAATTTGCCACAACTGATGATATCACACTTTTTAAGAAAGTTCTAAGTCTCAGCTCAGGCAGCTTTTCTTGTTTTCCTGATCCTAAAACCAATCTTAGGCTGACAAGGAGAAGGTGGTGAGATCTTTTTCTGCGTTCTAACTCAACGTCTTCTTTCTGCTCATCTGCAGCAATGGAGGCGGATGGAGAGCAGAACCAGCAGGGAGGCTCAGCCAATGGGAGCACGCCCTCTGGGACAAGCTCCCGCCCCTCCCCAATGAACTCCATGTCTGCCTATGAGAGGCAGGCGGTTCAGGTAGGTCACATGACTTATACTTTAATAACTTGTATCTCTGGCTGCTTGTGCTGAAAAGCTTTAAGTCCTCAAAGTGCACTGAAGAAACGCTGGTCACACAGTTTTAGGAACAATCTGATGCAATGAAACTTCTGAATGTTGTAGAGGTTCTATCTTATGAACTCTGGTTTTCTGACAGATTGTTTAAAGGGACACATCTCTGTATTATGGCTCTGGGTTGTCTATTTAATGCCGGAACATTCCTTCCCTTAACATCCTTAGAAGTGGGAGTGGAGCAGTTAGATTCCTTCATTTCATGTAGGAAAGAGAGGAGCGTTTTTCAGACATGCATCTGGTGATTAAGGTCTTTGTTTAAAACTGAGCTTCCAGGAGCCTGTTGGTTAAAAATGTAGGAAGTTTAAAGTATCGTAAAATTATGATGGAGTATTAGGGCCAGGCTAGAGATTTTTTTTTCTTCTATTTCGAGATTAAGTCGTACCATTACGAGAATAAAGTCGTAGCATTATGAGAATGAAGTCATTATACCACAACCTATTTCAGAAAGAAAGCTTCAAGCTCTGAGCAGCATGACAGCCGACCAGCTCCACCAAACATCAACCTGAGTCCACTTTGACCTACTGTCTAATCTGATGCTGCTGTGCTAAAAGATTTTTCTTATTTGTCAAACCAGAGCCAAAGTATAACTTCACACGATGCTCGATATTCCTTATTTTAGGGAAGAAAGTGCTTCTTGTAAGAGTTGCCATAAAATACAACTTGTTTCTTGTAAATTTAGGACTTAATTCTCTTAATATTATTAGTTTATTCCCGTAATTTTGAATATTCTCCTTGTGACTTTTTTCTCGTAATATTACGACTTTATTCTCGTAATTTTCCGACTTTATTCTTGTAGTTTTCCGACTTTATTCTCGAAATATAAGGGGAAAAAATCTCAAACCTGTTTGTACTCTGTTGTATAAAATGACCTGGAGAATTCATCTGTTTTTTGTTTTTTTTCCTTAGCTTTTTTTTCTCCTTTTTTAATCTCTTCATTTTATATATACTTTTCAGCAGTTTTTTTTCCATATTTCTTTTCTAATTTTCTCATTCTCTGTATCTTTTTTTGCTATTTTCCTTGATAAATTTTCTGCATTTTGTCTGATTTTCTTTAGATGGCTTTAGGTGTTTGTTCTTTCCTCCACCTTCTTCCTCCCTTCTTGTTTTTTTCCGCTACTTTCCTCTTACTTTCATTCCATAATACCTTTCTGTCTTTCTTCCATCCTGTGTCTTTAATGCTTGCATTTAAAAAGCTTTTTAAAGCTATTCTAATCCTAAACTCATTATACCTGCTAAGATTTATGGTAAACCTTTTTTTTTTATTATTTCTGCTTTTAGAAACAGCCAAATGTCTAAAACATTCTCTGCAGATGTAGAAAAGTTTGGATATGAAAACAACGTAGGATGGCAATTAAGCTTTGAATGTAGAACCATTAATATTCTTTCCAGTACCAATAGTTGTAATTATAAGCATTTGTTTTCCCAAATTGTGTCTTACGGTGGTAATCTTTTTCTAATTTGTGACTCAAACTGATGATTAGAGAGAGAACTGGGTTGTTGAACAAAGTGGTGAGACTGGAAGGAGGCTGGGTGTTATTTTCTCAGGCCTTTGTCACCCTCCAGCCATCTGTCTTTGTCACCCTGCACATACTAATCCAAGCCGCCGCGCTCACATTCATCCGTCAACTTATTACAGTATGAACCTCGGCTCATACATCAGGGTTCTGGCAGAAAGCAGCAGCATTTATTCCTCCTGCTCTTATGTTCCTGTTTATCTCACCATGTTATGATCTTTTACAAACTCTTTCTTTTTTCCTATCCATGTTTTAATCGTTTCTTTTCACAGCCCTCTGCCTAAATCATTCACTTATTTATCTCCTTTACACATGCTGTTCTCATCTCTCACCCTGTCATTAATTTTCATATTTTTGAATCTTTTCTCCCCCACCCTGTTCCTTTAGGCCCTTCAGGCTTTGCAGAGGCAGCCTAATGCAGCCCAGTACTTCCAGCAACTAATGCTGCAGCAACAAATCAACAGCGCCCAGCTGCAGAATCTGGCTGCTGTGCAACAAGTCAAGGTAAATAAAAAAAATCCACTCTGCAGTAAAAGATAGAAGCTTAGGATACAGCCTCCATCTTGGCAAGATGTTTTGTCAGATTGGCAGGAATACGGTTAAAAACAATGAGCCACGTCCTCTGTCAACCACAGGACAGCCTCAGTTAACCGCTTTTCTTTGGATCCGATGGACGCCTAAATGTTTTCTCTGCTTCTTCTGGTTTTTGCATCTTTATCTCCTCCTCTGCAGGCAACCCTGGCAGCCAGTCGCCAGTCTAGTCCCTCCAGCAGCTCTTCTCAGACCACCAGCACTACAGTAGTATGCTTTATTTTTTGCTAACATCAAATGCTTGGAAACAACAAATTTTAAAAAACACTTTTAAAAATTTTCCAAATGGAATTAGATCGCGCAAAGATGCACTGCTTTCATTTTTTCGGAAGTTCACCCGTCAATCAATTCCAAAGCCTTTCTTTTTTTAGTTTAAACAAAAAGAGCATTTTAAGTTTTTCTGAAAACTGAAGTATATTCAAATTTTTACTGCTTTTGCTATGATACTCCAGCTAATATTTAATGGACTTTATTTGGGATTATTTCAAGTGCAACAGACACAGAAACAAAAAAGAAAAGAAAAAAAACTACACAAGATGACATCCACTGCTTCTACACTTGCATAGAGAGACAGAGAATAAGAGAATAACAGAAAAAGTATCACTTGTTTATACAACAAATATAAATATAGATGGTAGTCTCATTAAAAACTACACCGTAGATTTCTCTTATTTCAAAAAGGCTCACTAGTGGTTGTGAGGAGTCAAAGTCCTGCCCCCCATGGTGCAGAGGCAGACAGTGCTGCAGACATTTATAAGACTGTGGTCTTCAAATAAGACCAACATAGGAACAGCTGCATCCTCCGATCATATTCTAAAAGAACCGGCCAACCTGAGCCACTTGGGTACAAATTAGTCCACAACCCAAACCTATGAACCTCCCACAGGTCCACACCTCCAATAGAGAGCCTCATTTCTGCAGAGACTGACTAGAGCACACAGTGCTGGGCCTGAACGTGGCTACAAGCTCCCCACCACACAGTGCAATGCAACAGCAAACTCCATGCAAGCCAACACACTCTAGTGCAGCAAAGCAGACGCCTCTGAGCTATGCAGATCATCCATCTGCTACAACAGTAGAACTTTTTTCAGCCAAAATGTTTAGATAAACAGTCACTGGAAATTCCTCTCTTACTTATGCTGCATTAGAGTGAAGAGTGCTGGATATGTTTGGAATAAACCTAATTCAGTCATGTGGAAAGTTTAAATGTTGGTATTTAAGATATGCATCAAAACTGAATACATTCAATGTTATAATTTGGTTCACAATTAGTAATCTGCCAAATGCTTTTGATTCAGCAGAGGAATCAATCATTACAGTTACAATCTGTTAGGAAAACAGAGGATTCTACAAATTAAAAGTCTGATGTTGCTCCTCTTCAGGCCAGTGTAACATCTGGAGCAGGTTCTACAACCGGCAGCCGTCCTATAGGTGCTTCAGCAACCTCCACCATCAGTCAGTCTGTGCTGCTCAGCGGGGCAGCAGGCGGTCAGGGACAAATGTACCTGAGGGTGAGTTTTTTAACACTAGCTCCTTTTGGCCAATCTGTGACCTTGGTGTCAGTATTTATGTTCGGTAACTTGCCGTCTGTCTGCAGGTCAATCGTTCCCTGAGGACCCCCATGCCCCCTCAGCTCATCTTTATGCCTGGCAGCACAGCAACCGCTGCTGTGGCGACCGTTGCCCAGCAACCACAGAGTCAGCAGCAGCAGCAGGAAGTAACACCAGCTTCCTCCTCCGGAAGCCAATCAGATAACGACCAGGTATGAGGAGTAATGGAGCTAATTTGACAAAGGTGTTATGGTTTTTGTTGCTGTGTCTGGATTTAGAGCTTGGCAACCCAACAATGAATGATCCTCCGTTTCTTTAGGCCCAGAATCTCGCCATCCGAGGCGTGTCCAGTCCCAAAGGTGTTAAAACTGAAGCTCCAGAAAGGAGCGACTCAGGTAGGATATGATACAATTTGATCACATTATTATTCCGCTCATTTATTAGTTTCATTTTGTATTGTTTTACATCAAATGCTTTATTGTAGAGTCAAGGAAACAATAAATTACTGAAGTCAGTCAGAGTTGACAATTTTTAAAGAAGAAATGTTTTAATATTAGTGAATAATATTTCTTTTTTTATATATAAATGTATTTAATTGCTCTTTAACTCTTTACTCTTTAAGGTCAAATTCTCTACTCGAATTGGGGACCCACAGTCCCAAATTTAGCAGCAGGATTCACTTTACAAAGTGTTTTCTGTCCCAAGATGTGGCAGCTTTTAAATATGAATATATTGTGTGTTTATATTATTCACTAATAGGTCATATTTTTCAAGTTCAAGCCTGAAGACGATTGAGTGTCAGTCAGTTTAGAAACCTTATTATGCCTTAAAACAGGGTTCACCAACTTTTTTAAGGCTGCGGGCTACTTTATGGGTACTGAGTCATAGGACGGGCTACCAATACTGACCTATGAACTAGGGTTGGGAATTGAAAAGATTTTCACGATTCCGATTCCCTTTTCGATTCTATGAAACGATTCGATTCTTTATCGATTCTTTTTTCGATTCCAATTTGGAGAAAAAAGGAGAACAAACAGTTTGATTATCAGCATCAACTTTGTTTACTTAACTATTGCACAATCTTACAAACTCAACAAGATCAAGATGTCCACAGGAAATGTGAAACTGGAGTAACATCTGTGTTTAAATGAAAAATGAATACAAGAACAAACTTAAATAACCAACAATGTCTAATAACAAATTATGGGATAATAACCTACTTTAAATAACAAAAAATACTAATTATAAAACAGTAGTAGGGAAAATTAACAGTTCTTTTGCAGAAAGATGAGCATATCTGCTTTTTCTGGAAGGATACAGGATCTTTCAGCGCTTAAGGTGTTTCCAGCCGTGGAGAACACCCTCTCAGATGGGGTGGAGGAAGCCTGCACACAGAGGTAGTTTTCAGCCAGTCCAGATAGCAAGGGCAGCATATCTTGCTTGTTCCACCACCACAGTGTGGCGCTATCCCTGCAGGGGATGGAGGGCAAGCTTTTATAGAGCTGGATTTCCTAATCTACCCTCTGGGCTAAGGAAAGACGGGGCTTTGATTCACAAAGTGACCGCAGCTCGTTGTCTTCCTCCTCGAATAGTTCTTCTAACTTGCGTAACTTACGTAAAAACGTGACGGAAGTCGTGCTCCCCAGAGCCGACGCTCTAGGCTTTGGTGCTGCGGGAATCGAAAAAAGAATCGTTCAGCGAGCTGCCAAACGATGCCATGGAATCGGAAAATATGGAACCGGTTCTGAACAGGAACCGGATTTCGATTCCCATCCCTACTATGAACTAGAGGAGTTCACCTGAACTTCATAGATAATAAACATATTTCTATTGTTTCTTTTCATTTTTAATTTGCTTTTAGATATTCTCAATATGAAATCCATATAAATCCTCAAATGTTCTAATTTATTGATATGATAAAATGCTTCATAAATGCTTCAAAATAAGAGCTTCAGTAAAAAATAAAATTTCAGATTTAGTCCACTGGTGAATTGTTCTGTTTTCAAAAGATGCTGAGGGCACCCCATGTTGTCTTTGAGGGCCCCTTGGTGCCCACGGGCACCACGTTGGTGACCCCTGCCTTAAAATATGATTATTGTGATTACTATCTGTGAAGATTCTCAGTCATCAAGGTCATGGTCAAGCTTGAAAGAGTTCAGTTTAGGCAACTGGACGTAAAGTTTTTTAGATGTTTCGCCTCTTATCTTCAGTTCTTAGTGGTGGTGGGGAGCTCCCCACTAGAAAACTTAATGTCCAGTTGCCTAGACTGAACTCTTTAAGGCTATTCTAATTAAGTTGACCGGACAAATAAGAAAAACATGTCTGTAAAAAAGTTTTTCTTCCCTGTGGCAAAGTGTGATTGTGACCAGGTGTTTGCCTGTGCTTTTATTTTGGTATCAGGTGCCTACTCTCTGGTCCAGCCGTCCCACCCATCAAACCCACAGTCCCCAACCAAACCCAGCCCACAGACTCATCACATCAAAATCCCCACCTACCCCCAGCCTACTAACCTTAAAGCACACCCCACCTCTTCGTCCGGTGCCTCCTCCTCTTCCTCTTCCTCCACGTCCTCCATCCCTCTCTCCCAGCTCCTGCTCCATGGAACTCGAACACTAACCACAGGGACAACAGCTCCCACAGCAGCGCACGCGCTGGTCCTGACATCCAATGCAACGTCTCAGGCCCATGCGTACCCGGTCGGGACAGCGACCATCAAGCCTGCAGTCAACGCTCAGACTCTGGTGGTTCAGCCTTTACAAAAGGCGGCTTTAAACACAGAGAAATCGGGCCATGCGAACGGACCCATTCCCATCCAACCCAAGACTTTGCAGAGCCTCCGTTTGCCTCTACAACTTTCCTCCAGAAACCCCCCTCCCATTTTGCCTGCCCCACCGCCTGCTAGCAGCTCTAACCATCCTTCCCAGCCTCCGCATATCCCGGTCCAGATAGTGGGGGCCAGGCAGAGCTCACTGGGAGCCCCCCAGGCTCTCGCCCTTGCCCGTGGAAGCTGCAGCCAGGAAGGGGCTGCCATCCTCAGCAGCTCATCCAGCCTCCTCACCATGGTGGCCTCCATTGCCTCCAGAGAAGGGGGGGTTGTTGGCAGAGGGGTGGGGCTTAAGACTCTTCAGACGCCCCAGGAGGGTCCGCCCACAGCTCAGGCTCCTCAAGTGCAACCCCAGACCAATCAAAGCTCTGCGAGTCAGAACGGAGCTTCAGCTCCAAGCCCCGCCTCCTCTCAGTCGTCAGCCATTACAGCACCTCCCACCTCGCAGTCTCGTTCCACACAGTCCCTCCCCCAGGGCGCCGAGGAGCAGAGAAGAGCAGGTTTGACGGCTAACGGAGACTCGTCAGGAGGTCAGACTCCACAGGTGAGTTGATTGGTGTGTTTTATCTTTTTATAACCGCATCAAGACTCTTCACAGATGCTGTAATGTTTGGGATAAAGACCCACTGACTTTGTAGCCTTGTGAGACTGTCCTGATCTCACGAGCTTTCAAGGTTTCACTCGCAAGTCAGTCTGGCTGCTCTCTGTTAAAGAAAATTTGGAGCAGTTCACCAAATGAATGTCCAATCAGCGTTGGCTTCGAGGCGGGTTGAGGTGTGACGCAACGAGAAGCGTGACAGTTGAGTCTAAAGAACATGGCGGTTTCAGCAGATGAAACTAGCATTAGCGTGGCTATCGAGCAAGTTTTATCGGAATTACAGAGTATTTCTTCACTGAAAGAAGAGCAAAACACTGCTCTGGAGGCTTTTCTCAGAGGAAGAGATGATTTTGCTCTCCTCCCAACTGGTTTCGGCAAGAGTTTGATCTTGTGGTTGTGTTTTCGTCGTCGCTCTGTTAGTACGTCATATGTTCCGTTGATCTGATTGGTTTATTTGGCCCGTCTATCACCAACATAGGCCAATCAGCTAACCAGTATTTTCGCCCCTTCCCAAAATTACTTTAACGGAAGGTTTCCAGATGGATATGCGGAGCAAATCCATCTGGCGGAGTCAGGTTACTGACTTTGTACCTGGTTCCCTGATAAGAAGGTTCGCTCGTTATCAGAAGAAGGAATATAGCAGCTGTTCTTACTGTTTCATGTAGGTTTGCAGATCATTGATTGCTTAAAGTCTTGTTTATGTTTGTAGTGACTGATGGTTGTCTCCTTTATACGGAAGAGGATTAGGGCCACTGAAAAAAAAAATAAGTTAACAGATTTTTTTTTTGTTTTGTTTCAGTATAGTATGGGAAAACAGTCAGAATTCTGACTTTAATCTCAGAATTCAGATTTTTTTTCTCAGAATTCTGAATTTTTTTATCAGAATTTGTCAGAATTCAGTCAGAATTAAAGTCAGAATTCGGACTTTTTTCCCATACTAAACTCAAATAAAATGTAAAAATCAGTTAACTTTTTTTTCCCCACTGGCCCTAATCCTCTTCCATACCTTTAAGCCGGGTATACACAGTACGATTTTTTTTTGCCCTTTTCAGGGCAATTTTCCAGTCGTTTTAGAATTTTTTGATTGGGCCGACTTTCAGCCTGGTCGCGCATCTTGTAGTGTGGAGATCAGCCACTCATGACCACCTCTCGATCAGGAATCGTGAGGTCAGGAGAAACCAAACATAATAGAATTAAAATTCAGTCGGCCGTCGTGGGCAAATCGCTCAGTGAGCAAACAAGGACTCTTCTTCTTTTTCCTCTCAGGCGAAAACACAGACGCATGGCGGGGGTGCGAGTGAAATGGAGTTTTTCTGTAAAATTGACAGACCGTAGTAACTAGTTTGCTCAGCCATGTCTTTGTCCAAATACATCGTCGCCTTTTCATTATTATTATTATTTTATTTTATTTAAATAAAAATAATATTTAAGCCAAAACAATGATTTTAAAAATAAAATAAAAAAAGATTCAGATAAAAAAAAAAAACATTTTCTTTTCTATGTTGGTTTTCTTTTCTGCGCTGAATAGATGGTGAATAAAGTAGTGCATCATCACACTTCTCTTTAAAGAGCTTGGAAAGCATAGGGAGTTGGTTTCCTCAGGGTTTTATTCATTTAATCTTGATGTTTTCAACCCTACTTCATGTTGCAGCTCCTTTAATTATTCCTGAATTATCAACATGAATGATTATATTGGATTTTAAGTCCTTATATTTTAAATATCAATCTGATCGGAAGCAAAGCTTACGTCTCCTCCCTGTTCCTTTGACTGCTGCAGTAATCTGTCTCTAGCTTCCAGCTTCATGTCTTTGTTTTGCTTGTTTTGTCTGAAGGGAAAGCAGACGAGTGTTTCCCTAAAGAGGAAATCAGATTCCGCCTCAGCAAATGATGAAGACGGTCCGTCTCCTCCACGGCTGCAGCCAGTCAGAGATCACAGCTCCACGCCTCCAGGCAACCCTGTCAATGCAGGTAACCTCACAGGAAGGACGGGCAGCAAGACCTGAGGGTTTTATAATAATACTCTATTTACTGGAGTGATGATGGAGATGGGAAAAAGTACCAAGTCACCAACACAAATTCTGTTAGAAAAATAAGCTCAACCATTATGAATTGGACTGTTTTACAGTAGCGGCCATTCAAAATGGCCCTTCCCAGTTAATTGCCAGCCGAATGGCAGCCTTCTCCCCTGCGACTCCCAGCAAAATCCCCTCTAACTTCCAGTCACTCTTGCACATTTTTTTACTCTGACGCCACCCTTTCGCTGAATTACAGGGTCTGACCAGGAGACGAGGCTTCTCTTTAGATCTTAATGTCAACAAATCGTGACCGAAATAATATTTTAGTACAAATATTGATGGTTAAAAAGGAATTGAACGGGGACCAGCGAACGGCACATCAAGGAAAGTGGGGAAATATTAAATGGCTGCCACTGTAGCACAGAGGTAACATGAATTTATGTTATTGTTTGCTTTGTAAAGCCCGGGAATTCTTGTTTGATTTTCTCTGGCAGCAGTAAGTCCAAACTTGGATATAGTGAATCTGTAGAGAGCCCTTCTACCATAAAGACTTGGAGCCCATCAACAATAATAGTTAAAATCCCAGAGGAAACATGCAAAAGGCTGATCAGCAGCCATAGGAGGAGCTCAATTGTTATTTTAACAATCAAGAGTTTTCCTCTGATCGTTGAAAGGGAATAAATAATATTTAAAAAGCTTTTTAACTCAAAATGTAAATTTTTGTTTTTTAAATAAACACCTCATTCCTCAATCAGTAAAATACAGTTTGACTAAATACAATAGATTCTACATCTGTCAGATATAAAAAACTAATTTGCTTAAATGTGGCTCTTTATGCTTGAATGAAAAACAGTCAAGAATCCAACAGTACTCGGATACCAGGAGCTGCAAAGTCATCACAGTTCCTAAAATGATTTTATTTTCTTTCACTAATAATAAACAATGGAACTATGATCCATCCATCCTGCTCTGGGTGTCCTTGTAGTTAGAGGTTGTGGGTTGGATTCCAGCTTCCTTATGTCCCATTGACCTCTTGGGTTTGGGTGGGTAAGAGCAGCCGTAGTGAAACATGATTTCAGTGGTCAGTATGACTAGAATTCAGCCTGTTTACAAAGACTCGCCTCTCTAGAATCCAGAAAGGTTCTGACTAAGAACATTTTAAACTTCTTCTCCACCTCTGCAGGTTCTCCTCCTCCACCCTCCTCCACTGCGACCCCGATCCTCTCCGTGTCCAGGGGGCCCTGTGGTCAGGGGGAGCGGGTGTCGCCGCCTCAGGCTGTGGTCAAACCACAAGTTCTCACTCACCTCATTGAAGGCTTTGTCATCCAGGAGGGAGCGGAGCCGTTCCCAGTGTGTACTCTCCATCTGTACTGGGAATCCATCGTTCGGCTCTGGACTGTCGCCTGAAATGTCGTTTTTTTTCTTCTTTTTTTCATAGATATGTGGTCCAGCAAAAGACTCGGCTGGCGAAGATTTAACCGATGATAGTCCAGACACCAACCAATCAGAAACGGTCACTACAGCAACAGGTATCGGTTGAAATTTCTAATAGCCCCCTTTTTTCTCCCAAGCTACCTTGTGTCCAACAGGAAGGTGCTCACCCTTCCTGTTAGCTTTATCTGTCTCTCCAGTCTGAAAGTAATGGAGACAATTATCTACATGTAGAAGAAAATATAATTACTTTTAAAAAGCGTCTTTTGATTTTCTTTTTCCATCTAGCTAAGAACAATATTAGTGATAATGATAACTAATTTAACAAGGTAATTTAGTAATCACTTAAATGTTTCTGGAGCATAGAGACTCTAAAAGGGGAGTGTGGCCTAGTGGTTAGGGCTTAGATCTTGGACTCCTGAGGTTCCGATTTTAAGCCCCATTCCCACGGACTCCCTCTCTGGGTCCCTAAGCAAGAACCGTAACCCCACGCTGCTCCCTGGGCGCCCAACAATGGCAGCCCACTGCTCTCCAAGGGGATGGGTTAAATGCAGAGAGTTAATTTCATTGCTCTGTACTTGTGACTGTAATGACAATAAAAAATTAAAAAAAAGGCTAAGATGAAACATGTCATTAACTATAAGAGAAACCAACCTAGAGCCGTAATTATATCAAAATTCAACATTTTTTATTCAAGATGATAACAATCTAAAAAAGTCTAAATGCTCTACACAGAACTCCTTCACTGGATTAGTTTTAGCCCAACACTGCAAAAACGATCTAGAAATAAGCAAAAATGTCTTAAATTAAATGTATTTCCCCTTAAATTAAATAGGTAATAAGATCATCTGCCAATGGAATGACTTTCTTTTTACTTTTAGAATAAGATCATCAGATAATATACACTTGAAATAAGATATTGCAATTGTTTTTTTCTTATTTTAAATGTAAATTGGTCCATTGGCGAAGTGTCTGTCTCACTTACCTCCTCAATTCAAGAAAAAATGCAACTAGATTTTCGTTCTTTGCAGTGCACCTGGTTGAAATTTGGTTTTAAGTCTACTTTAAGGAATGTCATTAATTAATTAACTGGAAAAATGACCAACAGATTCATTGATTAACAAAATAATGATTAAACAAAATTAGCATCCTCTCTCTCTTTTCTGGGCCTGAGTTGTAAGAGTTTGTTTGACAAACGAACTGATCAAAAACGATCAAACTCTTTCCAACCAGTCGGTCTCCAGTGAGGCCAGCCAAGCCAATTATTGGCCTCTTTCCAGTTTCTCGGTGCATCTCAAAATGGGATCACAGGCGTAACTTTCTGAAGGACTGCTGTGGATATGTCCCCACCAATGATTTCCGCTTTTTTTCCCCTTTCCGTTTATTTACTTTCGCCAAAGGTAACAGTTGGGTGCAGCTAACTGTGTTCAGAGCGTTTTGAGTCTTTTTTTTTTTTTTGTCTTGTGCAATTCTCCTGTGTCTCGCCTCTCAGTGTAACATCATCGGATCTGTCGCTTTGAGACATTTGATTTGCGGTCGCATTTCACTGATGTACAGAGTAGCTATGTGGTTGGAGGAGATAGGAATAGGAATAACAATTGGAAAAGCATTCAATAAATGTATGTTTGAGCTCATTTTTTGGAAAAACACGTAATGAAAGCATTCGGGTCGAGTAACTGTAGGTCCATCAGCCCTTTCATCACAAAGTTACACCCTTGAATGGGAGCGTTTCATTTTCACATGCAGCCATCCCTTTGTACCCTTCAAGGTTTGATTATGTTTCTTGAAAACATCTTTAGAGTCTGATTTAGTTCATTTAGTTCATTATTTAGCTTCTCTATTCAATGCAGCAATCTGCTGCACTGCTCCTCCCAGCCTCACTTCCATCGTGAATCAGTTTGATTCCTGCTCGACTTTTTCACTGCATCTTTTTAATTACAGCTTCCAAGCTGGAATTTCCAGTCCTGGGTTTAATTGCAGGAGAGCTGAGAGAAAAAAAGAGTCAACAAATTCTAATCCTTCTTTTAAAAAGACCTGTGATTATAATGATTATGGTTTGAAAGTACGACTCTCTCTAATATGATTTCCTTTCTCACATATTTAGGTATTTGTGTTAAAGTATTTGCTGCTACATTAAGCAACCACCATCTTCTCTTGTGAACCTTTGCCCTTAGTGCTGAAGTGTGAATACTGCAAAAACTTTGCACCTGCCAGCCAGTTCAGAGGCACCAAAAGGTTCTGCTCCATGTCTTGCGCCAAGAGGTACTATGCATGCATGAAACATGTGACACTATATGAACATCTAATCAAGCCCCTTCATGTTGCTCTGCTGCAGCCACTGCATACTTCACAGATCTCTGGATGCTAATTACTACTTTTATTGTCCAAATCAAACATTAATGTCTTTGGAATTTAGGCAGCAATCATTGGAACTAGAGTAAAAACATATAGAAGCAGTCTGAAAGTGTTTATACCCTTGAATTTATTCCGTTTTATTACAAAAAAAAACCTAAGCATCAAAACTACTATTCAGATTTTAAGCTTCAGATTTTTTTTCGACTTTTTCGGCAAGTAACGCATTAATGTGAACTGGAAGGAAAACTATTATTTTCAAAAATTGTTATGAAAGACAATAGCTACAATAGAATAGTCTGGATCAAAGCGCATCTATGTTAGTTCTTCCCAGTCACAGTGATTCATCCTCCAATTATTCATCCCACAGAAGACTAGTGCTACGTTCACACCAGACGCGCTTTGGGGAGTAAGAAAAGCGACTGCTGCTTCATTTTTGATGCTTGTATATTAAGTTTAGACGCAACTTAAGAGCTCCTGAAGCACGTCCAGTAAAATGTACCCAGATGCTTCTGATGCTTCTGCTGCTTCTGTGTTCAGTGCAGAGAGTGGCTTTGCTATATTTGCTGTTATAAGTGGGTAAAAATTACTTTTAATATATTTTTAGGCCAGAAAGTCCACCTCAAAACTTCAATCGTGCAGTTGGTTCATCAAGATTACAATCTTGCCTTCAAATATAATTTCGCTGTCGGAGCCGCTCAGACCCCCACATGGCGGAATGGTGTCACTGGGAACCCCCAGCAGCTGCGGGTTTTCCTCTACTCTTCATGGTGGCTGGAAGTTGATGTCGGCGTTTTTCATATACGTATCCAAACTGCAGGCACCAGGATAATGAAAGCGAACATATTTTGGGTTTCGACATTTTAAGTTAATTAAGGCATTAAATAACTGTTTCAGGGGAGTGATCACAGCGATCTGCATCGGCAGTGCTGTGTCTGTCTCCCTGCCAGCTCTCAGATCGGCTTCCCTGATTGGTTGATGCAGCCAGCAAGCAGCATAAGTTAATTTTTGAAACTCCAGCAGCTGGTGCTTGTGAAGCTTTTCCAGCGCCTTAGATGCTCAGAAGCTCATCAGGCACTGCTTCGTTGTTGGACTATGATGGACCTTGACGCACGCAAGCATTGACTTTGCATGTAAACCAGCTGCTTCAATCGCATGCGGTCTGAACGTAGCATTAGAGTTAGTAGAGACTAAAACTATATAAATATTAAAAATGTATTTATTAAAAGCAAACTGAAGTCAGTTTTTTGTTTGAATGCAAAAATGTGACTTATTAAGGTTCTAAAACATACACCTTCAGTCTTTGGTTTACTTTATATAGACGCACTGCTTTGTGTGGTCTACCACAGGCGTCTGCAACCTGCAGGTCTGGAGCTGTAAGTGGCTCTTTGGGCCCCCCACAGGGGCTTTTAATAGTGGCTTAAAATGATGTAAAGAAGCAACTAAAATGGTATAATAATAAATACCAGCCTTAAAAGCTTATGAGTTGTTTTTTTTTTTTTTTTATATTTGACGGAATTTAAAAAAAAAGAATGACGTTAAAAGAAAAGTATTTTTTCAGTTCTCCATTGCTTTAACTTTGATTTTTACATCAAATAACTTATGGAAGAAAATCCATGGTTCATCATTATGCAACAATTTATGCTTTTGTTTTGAAAGCTAACGGCAAAAGACATGTCATATAAGATATTTAAGAAAGAAATAATAAAGTGTTTTATTAAAGGGTTGTAGCATATTTGCGGCTCTAAATGACTTTTACTCAGCCAGATATGGGCCGAAATGGCTCCTTGGATTTTAAGTTTGAAGATGCATGTCTCTCACATAAAGTCCTGTTAAAAATGCTTGGCAGCGTGTAAAAGTTGAAGTGAAGGAAATAAATCTTCATCAGTAGAAATGTGGCTGTGAATTATCAGTTGGCTTCAGCCCCACATTCACTGCATGTCTGTTTTCTGTGCTTTTTATTTTTTATTTTTTTTATGTTTTTAATGTGACACAACTTTATCCGCCTTGATGTTCAACAATGGCCTGGAAATGTTTGTCTTATGAGAATTTGGAAATGTTTTATTTGAACTGACATGCTCTTGTGATTTTTCTATTGTATTTATTACATCATGTGTTTTATATGATAAACAATGCATATCCTGCATTGTTTGGAACAGCATTTTGTCAGCATATGAGTTTGAAATTATTTTTGCTTTGCTTTGCCTTTGTCTCTTTGGCAGCTTTGTGCGTATGACTTCTATACCACAGCTGGTCCAAAGAGACAGAACTTTGTGTTGCTCGTCCCGGCTTCAGTACCGTATATGTCACTCTTTGTCTACGATACAGTATGTATTGGTTCCCCAGGTACAACGTCAGCTTCAGGCAGAACTTCACCGTGCGAAACAGTCACAGCCAGCTTCAAGATCAGAATCGAGCTATGGATCAGGACCAGGATCAAGACCAGGGCCAAGGTCACTTATCTAACTCCGATGAGGAAGGAGGGATTGCAAGGAGGAGGGTGCCTCGTAGGACTAGCTCAGAAATAGCCAGCGCAAAGATAGCAGGAAGGCCCGTCCCAGCAAAGGTGAGAGAATAGTCCTCTCCAAGATGAAAAAAAGACAATTAAGAGACATTAATAAGCTTCTGCTTATACAGCTATTATCATTTTTTCTTATAATTAACTCAAATGAGAAAATCTTTTTTTTTCCTCATTTTATTTTATTTATTTATTTTTATCTTTGATATGTGGCTTTAATGAAACGAGGAAACACAAAGCATATGAGGGAATCAGGAGCCCCCACACCAGACCTGTGACTAGCTCAATTTGCAGAGTGTTGTGAGGTTTGGTGCCATCTAGTGGCTGGAACCATGCAACCACATAACAGCTGCTCTGTTTCTGTAACTTCTATTTTTTAAAGCTACAGTGTGTAATAATTACAGGCATATAAATTCAGAAATTTAATATATTATACATAACTATGTTATTTATCATCACCTATGAGCTCAGCCTTTTAACCATAACATTTGCGTTGCCTTAGAATTCGTTATTTATAATTACATAGGAGCGGGTCTCGCAGCCATGGAGGCTGACATCTTTGCGCTACGGCAGCGCAGAGGCAACAAACTAGCGATTGCGAGATCTCCCATGACGCTCGAAAATAACTACGGCAAGTTGAGAGAGATGAACTGAGACGGTACTGAACAGTAGATGGCAGTATTATGCCTGAGAAGCGTTTAGTCTGCCTGAAACCAAAGAAGAAGAAGAAGCAGGTATACTGCGCCTCGGTAACAAGAAAGGTAAACAAGGCGGCAGGCGTGAGTGACTTTGCAAACTGTTTGGCACTGTGTGGCCAAACATCAGACGAATGGAGGATCATGCCTACTCTGTATCACAACGAAAAGCGGCGGACACCGAACCCCCGTCATCTAAGAAGCGGAAACACGACGAGAATAAACGCAAGAGTGACAAGAAACGACAAAAAACACGGATCAACATTGGCACGGCATTTACACGATGGAAGTCACTGATGGAGGAAAAAGGTTTTCAAAGTGACGCTCAAGTTGCCAGTTTTCTCTTGGACAGGTAATTAATCCTATACACACAATTGTCTAATATCACTGCAGTTTTTGGAGTACAGGATGCTCAGACCTGTCTAAAACAATAACATGCTGCGTGATGATGCTGTTACTCTCCAGTATACTTATTCAGCAACGTCCCTGACGTTTCACAGGTAATGATTCAGTAATTTTCTGTAAAATAATTTTCTGGATATATACCTCGGTTACTTCTCTCCGGCTCCTTTGGAGATCTTCAAGCCTTTCCTCCTCTGCTCTCACCCCGCTGGCTCCCCTCTCTCGCCTGGCCCCAGCTGCACGCTCACCCCGGCCTCTCTGCCCTCTTCCTTTCCCTCTTCCTTGCCTTGTAACCCCCGTGCCACAAACAAGACTTGGACTCTGTAAACGGGGAATATATATTCTTCCAGCGAACACAATCTCGCTGTTAAACTAATGACTACAATTACTTCGTCTGTTTATATCACCATGCAAAGCAGCTCACCAAAACGTCACAACGACGTAGAAAAAATAACGGGTATATTTATTATCTTAAGTCTACATGAAATCTATACCCTACACAGACTAATGAAATACTATCTGTAAAATTATCTATGTAAACAAACCTCATCACTTGAGAAGGTAGGTGATGCGGACGTCGTGGAAGACATTTTGTCCCGTAACGCTCGCCGTACTGTTGGGGGGGAGAAGCGGTGGGGGGGAGACGTTCATGTTGCTGCAGTCTGCAGTCTGACCGCTAGATGTCGCTGAAAATTACACACTGTAGCTTTAAGACATTCAACCTTCTTTATGGTTTACAGATTTAATTCATGCATGCAGGATTATTTTGCAGATGGGATTGAGTGCTTAGACTGGTGGTTCTTTGACGAGTCTTACTGGTTTTGTAGCGCTACCACCATTGTTTGGGGTGCTTACTGGACTGGCTGCCAGGGGATCTGATTTTTTTTCAGTGATTTTCAAAGTGTCTCCCCTCAGGAATCAATGCTCTCCCTCTTTCCTGCCTACAGAGTCGTTCAGAGTCCAGCCGTTCAGAGGAGGAGTCCAGTGGACAGGAGGATGAAGAAGACGCCATGTCCCTGTCACCTGCTTCCTCAGCTTCCTGCCACCAGCCGCCTCCACCGCCTGCAGCTGAGAGCGCAGCACCACCCTGCCAGCCTGCTAGCCCCGCCCACTGGACAGTGGAGGAAGTGTCACAGTTTATTTCCTCCCTACAAGGTCTGTCATTTTTTTAACCTCAATGAATTTATGGAGAGAATTTTGCTCTATTATTGTCACAAGCAAAGAACATGTTTCAAAATTTGATATTTGTTATTTATTTGTTTCAATTTTTTTTTTGTTAATGTATTTTTAACTTTTTTTCCATGTCTATTTTTTGTTTATTTTTATTTCTTGCATTCTTCTGAAATTGCATTTAACAGATCACATGACTTAAAAAAACAAATGACTTGATGCTCACATTGAGAAATAAATATATAGTTGCTAACATCCATGAAGACCATGCACACTAAACGCATCTTTGCTCCTAACTCAAGAGGAAGGGAAGAGAATGTGATCTGGGAAACGGCTTTTACAATGAATGCAATACATGACACTATATCTGAAAAAAGCAATTTGTAATGTATAAGAACATTTTTAAAATGTAATTTGAATTATTTAAAATCTTAAGAAATTGATGATAATAAATACATTTATTTGAAAAAATATAATATAATAGAAAAATTCAATTCAAAAGTAAAAAAAAAAAAGAAATAACATGTTACACTCAAAACCTTTTTTCTCTATTAAAACATTTTTTGAAGGTTAATATCTGGATGTAATTTATTTTCAATATTAATTTTTTTATTTCCATTTATAAAAAGTGTTTTTTTGCCTGGAAAAAAAATTCTCTCCGTACAATTTAGTTAAATCGAAGGAACTTAATTCATTGATCTAATGGTTAAATAGTTATAGATCAGTTGCTGCAAAATAGTCTGTGGGTTTCTCGTTGGACAGGATTGTAAAGCTACAACAAGAGTAAAAGCAGACTGTAAAGAGAGTTAAAATAAATGTTTTTTTTTATACATATATTAGGGGTGGAATGGTTCACAGAATTCACGGTTCGGTTCGGTTCACGGCTCTGGGTCACGGTTTTCGGTTCGGTTCGGTATATGTTAATTGTTAGGAAAATCTCTAAGCTGACATGTTGGTCATGTTGCTGTTAGCATAAACAAAACGTGTTGCACAATGCTTGCAAACTGTTGCACTTTTATCCACAACTTTCTTTGCGCCGTCATCGTAGGTCACTCTAAATACAAAGCGGTCCCATACAGCAGACCTATAAAGTGCTGCTGGCGCGTCTTCCAACTCCTGTTCTTTCCCACTCGCCATACCCACACAATTCTCCACAACAACTGATTTTTTTCTGCTACACCCGGCTACGCTGCTTCGCTTCTTCTTCTTGTTTACTACTGGTGTTGGCTTTGGTCGCAGTACCGCCACCTTCTGCTCTGGAGTGTACACGCTTCACCTATGAGAAAAAAGAGCAGCGCATGAACCGAACGCAACACACGTGAACCGAACCGAGACAGTCGAACCGAACGGTTCGGACGGCTTTCATAAACCGTTCCATCCCTAATGTATATGAAGCTAAAACTTGAGCCTTCTGCTATAGGAACACATTTCAAAATAATGTGTTTTACTTTCTATCTGGTGAGGTTCCTTCATTAAAGGTTTAAACTGGAAGTTTAGATCTTGCCCAAAAAAAATGTGGAAATGCAAACTTTATTATTTATTATTTTCATGAAGCTTTTATTCTCTTTTTTTCTGTCATTTTAAACAAAGTTATGCATCAAACTGGATAAACTCTTTTCTTACTCTGCTTGTGTTCCTGTCGCTCCCAGGCTGCGAGGAAATCGCGTCCCAGTTTCTATCGCAGGAAATCGACGGACAGGCTTTGCTGCTGCTGAAGGAGGAGCATCTGATGTCCACCATGAACATTAAGCTGGGACCAGCCCTGAAGATCTGCGCTCACATCAACAGCCTGAGGGACTGATGGTCCGCTGGTTTCCGGCCCCCGCTGTGGGCTGGGATCAGACGGTGGGATTTTAAAGCTCTCCAGCTGAACCGAGCGCTGCAGAGTTTACGCCTGCCGTCGGCGGAGGGGGGGACACTCCTGATTTCTCTCTGAAAGTAATATTTGCAGAGTTTGGCTCCGCGCTTGAACCTAAAACTGTGATGGATGAAGGTTTTCTCATGAAGGCACCAACTGCTGCTCCATCAACACATTCATGAAGACTTCATTTTCTTATTATTTTGCACTTCTAAAGATAATTTGTTTGTTTTTTCTGACATTTAGGAAGATGACTCCTTTTATTATTATTTCAAATATCTTTGGTTTTCTTGTTCATCGTGATTTATGTGTCAAATCAAGAAGAAAAAATTTAAATGGGAACAGAAACGGTTGAGGTTTAAAACTTGGAAAAAACATTTTTAGAGGAGAAAAGTGTTTATTAGCTTACTGTTACTACGAATGAGGAAACCCTCGCCTTCTATAGGTGTGTTACCGATAGCTAACAGGGTACAGTGAGAGAACAGGGTATCTGAAAGGCCAGAGTGGAGTCCAACAAAACCAGAACCACGGCAGGTTCTGAGAGCCTGCCATGTTGATTTTACAGGATGTAAAGTAGAAAAACTCAAGAAGTTTCTTTACAGCCTGAAACGGGCTGGATTCTGCTTCGTCTTCAGGGTCTGCATAATTTTACAGGAAAAAAAAAGTTAAAGGGAATCAGGTTTCCTTCCCTTAACGATATATTAGTCTGAAGTAAGAAAAATTAGGTGATTACCGCCTTTTATTTAGCTTTAATTCACAGCTTTTGAATCTTCAATCATATTTTAGGACAAACTTTTGTTTGGGTTTTTAAAAATGGCCGCTGCTTCCATTGCAGCCAGAGCCAGTGGATCTGTGGCGTCTGAACATCCCGGCTCATAAAAGGCCTTGAACTTGGATCGTAATATAATTTAAGAATGTAACAAACATGAGAAGAAAAAACACTCTTTATTCACTGTTGGAGAATTCATTCCAGATTTAGAAAAGATAAAAATGTGAAATAAGAGTGGTGGAGATTCCTAACATAAGGCTGGATCAGAAGCCAGCTTCTTAGCTACAGATGATTAAAAACCCAACCTGTTTTAGTTTTTTTTTTTTTTTTATGCACGTCCGGGAAAGTTTCTCAAAACAAATTTTGAAAAAGCGACAAGTTTTGTAATGAAAGGTTTGCAGGAACCTTCTGCTGAATGATTCCCACGTCGTCTCTCTAAGCTTTATGGAAGAAGACCGCCTGCTCTTTAAACGGAAACTAAAGAGCAGCGACCAACACCAGAAGGTGAAGCATCTTTGGGCTGAACTGTTGAAGCTGTGGACCTACATCTGTTACAGACTGAAGTGCTTCGTCGGCCAGAATGACTGAAGCTATACTGTAGTAAATGTAAAAATTTGCCTTTCTATTTAATTGCACATTTGTTTGCTGGACTGCCTTGTCTTTTCATGTTCCCTGGTGGCCTTTTTTCACTAGTCTCTAGATTTAAATGAGGACTGTCTGTCATTTTTTAACGTATTTTCGTACCATTCCATCTTTTCTAGAAATGCCTTCATTTTTAAAGTCACATCCGTTGCTCTTCCCAAAGCGTGACTTAAGTAGTAGCAACCTTGATGAAGGAAACTCCCCCGTCTTCCTTATAGCTTTCTCATTTATTGTGTACTCGCCAACAGTATTTACCTTTGTAGCTAGCTAGCTATCCTTGGCTTTGTTGTGACTGACTGTGTCTGTTTTCTTCTAAGAAGGGATAATCCTTGATTGCTGTGCGTTTTTGTTTCAGTCTGCCCACGATTCTGGAGTATTTCAATTTGCCGGTCCCTCCACATGTAAGGTTGGATTGAAAGAACTCATGCACGCTGTAGTGAGCCTAATTAATTCAGCTCTAATGATTTCATCTGATCGTTGTTCGTTTCAACATCAATCCAAACAAGCAGCACCTTTCTCTCCAAAATTACCGAAGGTTCTGTAAATCTTTTATTTGCAATAATCAGAGAAAACGGCTGAATCTTGAAGGAATGTGTTTGACGATGAGCGGTTAATGCTGTAATGAAAATAAATCCTCCAGGAACTGTTGTAGGAATCTGTCTCCTGTTTTTTTTTGTTTTTTTAACCTGTGCACCAGTTCATCAGAGCCAAACAGGAACAGTAACGATGCAAACTCCCCCCTCAGGGCATTGCTGTTTTTGCTGCACGGCACCTTTATAAAAAGTGATTTAGTTCTGTAACAGATAGCAATTCTATTCAATGTTTTTAAGATATTTTTCTGCTTATGTGACACTGATTTCTAAACTTTTGAAGTTTCAACAAAACGTGTCAAACATGTAGATAAACATTGTTTTTATTTGGTTATTTTTACTTCCATAAGCAGCCTTGTTTTTATTTTATTATTTTTTTTTTTCAGTGTTTTATGTCACTACACTGTCAAGAACAGAGCAATGAAATTAACTCTGTGCATAACTCTGGCATTGTTGGCTGCCATAGTGCGGGACCCGGGGAGCGGTGTGGGGTTGCTCAGGAACCCAGGGTGCAGTCTGTGGGAGTGGGGCTTGAACCTCAGGATTCCAAGCGCAATGCCACTCCCCAAAGCAGGCGTGAAGGGTACACTGGCAGCTTTTTTTCCCCCAGCTGGGATACGAATCCAGGCTTCTTTTTTGCAGGACATGTGACTTACCACTTGAGCTAGCTACCCAATGAGCTTTGTAGACAAGGTTAATTTTCCAGCAGTTGAAAACTAGTGACATAGCTAAGAATGCTGATTTCTGTTAAGACTCCACTGCTTTGGATCATCCAGCCCACCAGTCTGATCTAATCCCCAAACCTCTCTGTTAAAATCATTAAATGCATTTTTTTTTTTGTGATATTCTAAAGATGGCTGCACAGTGCACACTGCTGCCTTGCAGCAAGCAGGTTCTGGGTTCGATTCGCTGCCAGGGTCTTTCTGCATGGAGTTTGCATGTTCTCCCTGAACATGAATGGGTTCTCTCCGGGTACTCTGGCTTCGTCGCACAGTCCAAAAACATGACTGTTAGGTTAATTGGCTTCTCTAAATTCTCTTTAGACGTGTGTGCGTAAATGGTTGTTTGCTTCTGTGTTGCCCTGCAAAAAAACTGGTAACCTGTCCAGGGTGGACCCCGCCTCTCTCCCATAGAAAGCTGGAGACGGGCACCAGCACCTTGTGTGATTAAAAAATGGATGGATATTGTAATTACACACCCCTGCAGTAAGTCCACTAGTGACTGTTTTTGTTTTTAGCTGATCATCTTCCAACCCATAACCAAGGAGTTCATTTACTGAGAGCTACTGTCATAAAATGTGTCAGCTCTAGAGCAAATATACCTGCGGGCGGGGGGGTATAGGAAATGGAAACCTTTATCCCTGCTGTCATTTGATTATTTTTGAAACACAACAAATCAGTTACAGCGTCTATGCCAGTGCATATCATCATCAGAAATTTATTTAGTCTTATGTCCTCAGAACAGGGGCCTTAACGGGATGCCGTTAAGGCACACTGGCCCCTATCTAGAACCGTCCATGACCATCGCTGTAGTGAACATTACTTTGAAACCGCTAAAGACACCCATCAACCCGCACAGCAGTTGGTTACCATGGAGACCACATACTACTTTGCATTTCTTCTAAAGGAAAATCAAATATGACAGCCGCTTATTCTCTCCTAAGATTTAACCTTGTATTACGGTAATTAAACGCAGAATAGATTTTGTCTAAATCGCCCAGAAAAGTTCAGTTTTACTGGTTGTATATAAAATGATAAATTGTTGCTCATTAATGCTGCTGTGATGTGAGCTGAAATAAGACATTAAAAGCAATACTTAATTGTCTGTCTTAAAAACAGATGACAGCACTGCCCTTAATACAGGAATATAACAAATGTCTTTCATTAAGGCCTAGAAAACCATAGTACTATTTACCAGATAATATACATATTTACAAAAAATAAGTTACATTACATGTAGTAAATGATTGTGCTTCATACCAAGTGTTACAAATTTAAACATAAATATAAAACTTTTGTATAAAAAAGATCATTTGCATTCTTCATATTTTTCTGTGCCCTTGCATCAGTCCATAGTGCTTTATTGGCCCTAACAGGTTCCAGTGATGAACACTGCAGCCCTTCAGAAGATGGCGAAGTTGAACGCCTCCCCGTATCCGGCCTCCCTGGTGTATTTCTCCAGGTTCAGAGGCTCAGACGCTCGAAGAGCCGTGCTTTCATTCGCTGAGCGCTCCCCTGCATGAAGTATCCTGATCAGGTCTGTCACAGACGGACGCCCCTGGGGGTTCCAGTTGCAGCAGGATTTTATGATGGAGTACCTGCCAACATAAACGAAGAGAAGATGAAGAATGTGCATTTACCTGAAGATGTTGTAGGACTACATGTGGGGTTACTTAGAATGTTGCAGAAAGTATGACCTGCATGCTTTTTAAGGTAAAAGCGTGCAGTGAAGCTAAAATACCTCATTAGTTAAGTTTACCTCCTTAATGAATTTCACCCTTTTTCATTACCATACAGAATTAACACAGTGAAATCTTTTTATATGATCATGTTTTGGTTTTTCCATCTCATTCAGATAGAAAATCAGTAATATACTTAATTTAAAAAGTTTAAAATGCATTTAAAAAAATTTGAAAACCAGAATCAAAAATCAGGTTAGATCAGAGCAAAAGACATGTATGTTTATGAACATTTTCTGACCGGCTACAGCAATTACTCCCTTTGATGTGCAGCTATGAGATACATCTGCTACGTTTTGCACAAAGGCGGCTTCCTGCATCAGTTCTTACAAAGCATTGGAGCAGTTTGTCGGTCGCTTCAGAGTTTTTCCTCTCTGGAGATACTGCAGAAGTTCAGTCGACATGATCTGAGCAAACGGTGGGTCACCTAAAAGCAGAGGATATTTATTACTTTATTATCTAGTTGCTTAAAGAATATTAAAGCAATTTTCCATTGTATCCATTGTAATGTTTGATTTTATGCATTCTAGCAAAATTTCTCTTAAGACTTTTACAGAAAAGCAGTAGGCGCAAAAGTCCAGCTAAACTGAGCTCAGACAGTTTGTGGACTTGTGTTTAGTTTTTTTTTTTTTAGTTTTTAGTTTACTGTGATTTTGTGTCATGTTTGTTGTTCTCTTGCAGTGTTGTGTTTTTTGTGTTTCTCTCTGTTGCCCCCTTGTGCCAGTCTCATTTCCCCTAGCTTCTAGTTGCTTCCATCTATCCCTGCTCCTTGTAAGATAATTAGCCCAGTTTTTGTCCAGTCTCCCATATATACTCCACTTGTGCAGTTACTCAATGCTGGTTTCTCGTCTTTGCTTTGCTCCACATGTGTTTTTTCCTCTGGTGTCTACTGGTTTTTGGTTTCCTCTGACTGTCA